CAATTGTTTTCAAAAATTTTATTAAATTCTCTACAAGAATTCAATTATTTTAATAAATATCAAAATTCCTGTCAAAAATTCAATTATTTTCAAATTTTTTTATAAAATTCTTTAAAAAATTCAATTATTTTCAAAAATCTTATTAAATTCATTGCAAGAATTCAATTATTTTCATAAATATCAAAATTCCTGGCAAAAATTCAATTATATTCAAAAATTTGATTAAATTCTTTGCAAGAATTCAATTATATTCATAAATACCAAAATTCCTGGCAAAAATTCAATTATTTTCAAAAAATTTTATAAAATTATTTAAAAAATTCAATTATTTTCATAAACAACAAAATTATTTATTATAATTTATTTAATTACAATTAAATTTCTCAAATGAATTCAATTATTTTCAAAAATTTTATTAAATTCTTTGCAAGAATTCAATTATTTTCAAAATTGTAATAAAATTCTTTGAAAAAATTTTAATTAAGTTCATCGCAAAAATTCAATTTTTTTTAACAATCTTATTAAATTCATTGCAAGAATTCAATTATTTTCAAAAATATCAAAATTCGTCAGAATTTCAATTATTTTCGTACCTGAAACTATTCACAGGAATTTTATTACACATTTTTCATATCAAATTGATACAAAAAATTTAAATCAATATTTTTTATAATCCACAAGTTTTTAACGAAATATTTCTTATTAAAATTATACTTTTATCAATTATAAGTTTTAGCAAAATAAATAAAAAATTTTAATTCTACATTTGAAAACTTTAAAAATCAATTTTCTTTGACAATGGATAAAAAATTTTTGTTAACGAAATATTTCTTATTTAAATTATATTTTCATAAATTATTTATAGCAAAATAAATAAAAAAATTCTAATTCTACATTTAGAAACTTTAAAAATTAATTTTCTTTGATAGTGGCTAAAAAATTTTTGTGAAAAAAAATTTAATTTAGAGAAGAAATAAGTAAATAAATGTTGTTCTTATTTGAACATTCGAAGCTTTAGAATCATTTTATAGTATCTCCTTCTAAAATTAAGAATGAAGAATTTATATACAAAGATGATGTTAAAAAATATAGATTTTACTTTCTAAAATATATATAATCTTGATTGAATATGCTGTGTTAATAAATTTGTAAGTGAAGTCGTGCTTTATCTTCATTATCATTGCTTTTAATTGGCAGGGTTTTCGAAGGTCATAAATGTGACATATTTGATCCTCAAATTACTTATATTATAAAATTAATTAACATATTGCAGATTATTATTTTCTTTTTATTGTAAGTTATTCATTTTTTTTACTTCCATTTAGTTAATGAAATCATAAATTTTTTTTGTTACTTGTGCATTATTTTTTATTATTATTATTAAAGAGTAAATTTTATACTAATTTTGAAGAGAATCGAATTTTTGCATTCAAAGAAAAATTTTGTTTGAACAGGTTCAGGAAAATCAGGAATAATAAAAATTAAAGAGGGAAATTAAGGAAATGTCAGGAAATTTTAATCAAATTACTGGCAAAATATCAATAAATGTCTAAAATTACGACAAAAATTCTGATTTTGTGCCCAAGAATATTCTTAATAAAAACTTAAAAACCTTGAATTTTCCTTGACTTTTTTTACACAATAGAAAAGTGTTAAATTTAAATATTTTCTTAATAAATAATTTCTTTGCATAATCTCAATTCTTTTTAATATTCAATTTTAATGAAATTTCTCTAAAGAATTCAATGGTTTTTAAAAGTTTCAATAAAAAACCTTATAAACAATGCGATTATTTTCAATAATTTTAATAAAATTCTGCGTAAGAATTTTATTTTTATAAAATAACAACGTTTTTTACAGAAATTCAATTATTTTTAACATTGGATTTTAATTTAACTCCTCTAAAGACTTCAATTATTTTTGTACTTATACTATTCACAAGAATTCAATTATTTTTAGGAGTTTTAATTAAATTCTTAAAAAGAATTCAATTATTTAAAATAATTTTATTAAAAATCTTTCAAAAGATTCAATTATTTTCGAACATTTTAATAAAATTCTGCGAAAGAATTCAATTATTTTCAAAATTCAATTTTAAATAAAATTCCCAAAAAGAATTGAATTATTTTAAAAAATTGTAATAAAAATCTTGAAAAGTGGTAACAATTCAATATTATTTACGAACATTTTAATAAAATATTGTCTGCGAGATTTTAATTATTTTCAATATTTAATTTTAATTAAATTTCTTCAAAGAATTCAATTATTTATTATAGATTTAATTCTAATTAAATTCTTCGAAAGAATTTAATTATTTTCAACAATTTTAATAAAAACCTTGGAAGCAATTCAATTATTTTGATAAATAATAAGATTATTTATAGGAATTCAATTATTTTTAAAATTTTAATAAAAACCTTAGAAACAATTCAATTATTTTGATAAATAATAACATTATTTAGAAAAATTTTAATAAAAACCTTGTAAACAATTTAATTATTTTGATAAATAATAAAATGATGTACTGGAATTTAATTATTTTGAAAAATTTTAATAAAAACCTTGGAAACAATTCAATTATTTTATTGATAAATATTAAAATTATTTACAGGAATTCAATTATTTTGAATAATTTTAATAAAAATTCCACAAGCAATACAACTATTTTCAAAAAATTTAATAAAATCCTGGGCAAAAATTCAATTATTTTCGAAAATTTCTATAAACTTTTTGTCAGGAGTTCAATTATTTTCTTAAATAATTAAATTAATCAAAGAAATTCAATTATTTTGAAAAATTTTAATAAAATTCTGTGAAAGAATTTAATTTTCAAAACTTCAATTTTAATAAAATTCCCAAAAAGTAATTGAATAATTTTCAAAAATTATGTTAAAAATTTTGAAAAGTGGAAACAATTCAATTTCGAACATTTGAAGAAAATTCTCTGCGAGATTTAAATTATTTTCATTAATAATAATAAAATCCTTCGCAGAATTTTAATACCTTTTTCCCATTCAATTTTAATTAAATTTCTTGAAAGAATCCAATTCAATGAATACATATATTAAACTAAAATCCAGTTACATTTAATTTTAATAAAAATTTCTTTTTGATCCTAGAATGAAATATTTTCTTTAAATTAAATACTCCTATTACAATGAAAACAAATATTTATTTCAAATAATAAATTAAATTAAATTAAATTTATTTAATTAAATTTAATATCTCACATTTATTATCTATTCTTTATTTATTTTATCTTTCTTCAATTTTGTTATTTTTAACTTACATTAATATTTTATTATTTTAAACAAAAATTATGAAACATTTTCTATTTTCTTATTTATTTATTTTTTTTTTGTCGTCTTCATTAAGTTTTCCTTTGAAAGATGATAAAATATATTTTCTTGTGCAGAAGAAAGTGAACTCTTAAGTTCTTAAAGAATTGGCGATATAAAAAATTCACATGCATTATAAACTTAAAAATAAACGGAAGTATATCAAAAATATGAGAGTGTATTATTTTTATGGAAAAACTTTTCTCAGTGGTAGTAACGACTACAAAGCAATTTTTAATGGCTTTTTCTCTTCTTTTGAAGTCATGCAATTATGAAAGAGAAGTCATTACAGAAAAGAAACTCCTTTAATGAGAATTTTTATCATGTAAATTTCAAATACAGCATCTTCAACTAAAAGTGTACGCAATTGTTTTCATCAAACGAAAAAAAATCAATAATTCTTATGTTTACATTTAAAATAATATTTAAAAAATTAAATATACAACAATTTTTTGTGAGTTTAATTATTATAGTCAAATTAATTTATTGGTGTCAATTTTTTATTAATTAATTTTTTTTATCATATAAATTTATAATTAAAATAATATTAATAATTATTATTATTTTTATTATTGTTTTTTTAATAATTTTTTTTTATTATATTTTGTATTAATATTTAATAATAATAATAATAATAATAATAATAATAATAATAATAATAATAAATACCCGAAATAATTATTATTTTAAATAAACATATTTTTTTATTATTATTATTATTATTATTATTATTATTATTATTATTATTATTATTATTATTATAAACATTTGTGTATTAAATGCAATAACTTTTGTATATATATATTATTTATCCTCCTTGAAAAAATACAAATGTGAACGAAAGGGACCTAAAAATAAAAATTTTATAGGTTATGTTTGTCATGTTTTGTATGAAAATGCATAAAATCTGTTAATTCTTAATTTAAAATAATTATGTTAATGCCATTATTACATTTAAAATATTCAATAAAAATTATTTTTTAGTTTACAAAATTAAAAAGAAACTCTTTTATTCAAGTAAAAAAATAACAAACATAACCTATAAAATGACACGTCACAAATTTTACCAAACAATTATAAGATTATTGCTTTGAAAAATTATATAAAGTTCAAAATTTTTATATTTTGCAAAATAATAAATAAGCAAAGAACTTAATTGAATTTTGTATTTTTAAATTATTCAAAACTGAAAATAATTTATACACTAATTTGTTCTAATAATTCAGTAAACTGCGATATTGATATTTATGATTATGATATAACGTTGATACGAATCAAATGTCAATTTTAGACAAATTGAATTTCCCGCCACCGAGTTTTAAGGTCAATTTACACAATTGGAAGGGCGAGGAGCGTGATTGGTTGTACGCACACACCACGTGCAGTCAGCTGACCTGTCTTATGATAGCAGTCAATTCGTCTAGTTGTTGAATTGTTGAGTGGACTTGTAACAGTACGTCTAACATCTTTGTAAGTTTTTATTCAATTTGATATTTACTTTTCATAATTATTGTGAAGAATCATTCTCCAAAGATCATCTAAATTATTGAAGAAAATAAGGTATTTAAAAAGAATTTGGTGAAATGTCACGATAATATTTGACATGTACACGCACTATACAGTATCGATCGAGTTTACTCTCTGCGCCATCGTCTTTCATTCTAAATGGTCTTTAAATTTCTTTTTGTTTTGATGTGAAGCCGAACGTTTAATTTCTGAAAAATCACACAAGTGTTTCGCGAATTTTAGTGCTCTGTAGTTTTTCTCAGAAGGAACTTGTTTAAAAGTGAATTATAACAGAGACGTTTCATTATTTAAGAGGGCTACGCCTATTTTTTGAACGGCTTGAAACGCTCACGTGAATCCCTGGTAATGAGCTCTAAAATGTTTTTTTTTTACGTTTTAGACAAATATTTCACTTTGGAGCTTATTTTTGTGGATTTATAAGGGAATGATTTTCTTCTTTTTTACATATTGTTTCTAATTTGATAAATTGTTCTGTCTAAAATTGTAATTTGACTTGGTATTTTCTGTTTTAATAATTTTTGTGTTATCACATGACTACACATCGGTTTAAATAATAGGTTTTTTAATTCGTTCCAAAGTGGTAATTCGAATATTTTTTCTTTTATTTTCCATTTTTGTAAAAATTACAATTGACAAGGTTGACAAGTTGTAAAATTGGGAATTTTTAATGTTTGTTTTTTTATTCAATTTTAAACTAAATTTTTATACTGTATTTGTTGACAAAAATACCCCTTTCTTTTTTATTAATAATCTAGGCAAATTTTTTCAAGATGACATCAACAGGTGGAACCTGTTTTTTTTCTAGAGTGAATTTTTTTTCTGGAGAAAATAATTGTCCTGTCTAATAGGATTTTAATTTCGTCTAATTGTCTCTCTTTTGAGGAATGTTGGAGAAATTTTCTTCTAATATTTAGGGACTATTTTCACTTTATTCATTAGAATATACACTTATTCTACCTTAGAATATACACAGAATGTAAAATATTTAATTTTTTGTTTATAGTGAACAAACAAAATGACTCTACCAAAGATAAGAAATGAAGAGAAGGAATCAAAATTCGGTTACGTCTATGCAGTATCCGGACCCGGTAAGAAATTTAAAAACTTGAGACTAGATTGAAAAATTAAAATATTAAAAATTTGTTTTCATTTTTTTTCTTCGTTACTAATTATCCCTTAATTGCAGTGGTTACCGCGGAAAGAATGTCCGGATCTGCTATGTACGAACTGGTTCGTGTCGGTTACTATGAACTAGTGGGAGAAATTATTCGATTGGAAGGAGATATGGCCACAATTCAAGTAAGAATACTTCAATTTTTCTTCTTAAGAAAATAAAGTATTTAAAAAATTAATTTAGATAATAAATTTATTTAGCAAGAAAAGATCAGTTTTTAAGACATTTTCTAATTTTTTACCTTTTAATGTTTTTATTTATGAATCTTTAATTAAAATACCATATAATCCAAATTTATTTTCGTTAAATAATTAAATAGTTAAATAATTTCATTTAAATAAATAAATAATATTTTCACAATTAAGATGTTAGATTTTTTTTAAAAGCTTAAAATTTTTCTTTTTATTTTTGTCTCTCAGTAAAAGGAACTTGGGAATATTTAACAAGTGATCAATATTTAAATATTCGATCTTGTGTTTTGAATTTTTAAAGAAAATTTCTTAATTTAAATATTTTACTTCTAGGTATACGAGGAGACGAGCGGCGTGACTGTCGGCGATCCGGTGCTGAGAACTGGAAAACCCCTGTCGGTGGAATTGGGACCTGGAATTCTTGGCAGTATTTTCGACGGTATTCAACGTCCCTTGAAGGACATTAACGAACTCACGAGTTCAATTTACATCCCGAAAGGAGTAAATGTTCCGGCTTTGTCTCGCACGGCTTCCTGGGAATTCAATCCACTGAACATTAAAAATGGAAGTCATATTACCGGAGGTGATTTGTACGCTATCGTTCACGAGAATACGCTCGTCAAACACAAAATGATTCTGCAACCGAAGAGCAAAGGTACAGTCACCTACATTGCTCCTGTAGGAAATTACACCGTTGATGTAAGTTAATTTTAAATTCAATCTTTGAATTTTCAAAAATGAAAAATTGTTTTACTATTTCAATCTAATTATTTTACATGTACTCGAAGGGTACTCGAAACTTTAATTATTTTCACTTTCCACAACCAGCAAAAAAACAATAATAATAATAATAATAATAATAATAATAATTGATTAATTCTTTCAGGATATTGTTTTGGAAACTGAATTCGATGGCGAGAGGCAAAAATACAGTATGTTGCAGGTGAGAATTGATTCATTCGACTAAAATAAAGCATTCAGTCTCAAATATTAAATTGTTCAAATATTGCATTTTTCAAATATTGAATTGTTCAAATATTGAATTTTCCAAATATTGAATTTTTCAAATATTGAATTTTTCAAATATTAAATTTTTCAAATATTTATTGTATTAAATGAATTTTTGTGAAAAATACAATTTTTTAAAATCGCAGGTATGGCCCGTACGTCAACCACGTCCAGTGACGGAGAAACTGCCTGCCAATCATCCACTACTTACTGGCCAACGAGTTTTGGATTCTCTTTTCCCGTAAATTTTATTTTTACAATTACTAAAAATACGATTATTAATATAGATTTTATCGGAGTATATAATATTCATCGTGTACCAATTTATATTTACTCTGATTCTAATATTTTCCACACAAAACAAATATTTTTTTTCTTTTTTTTTTTTGTGGTGGAAATTAAACTGGCAGTTTTGGTAATCGTCTGTCTGTTTTTTTACAGTTGCGTTCAAGGTGGAACAACCGCTATTCCTGGTGCTTTCGGTTGCGGAAAAACTGTCATTTCTCAAGCTTTGTCCAAATACTCCAACTCTGATGTAATTATTTACGTCGGTTGTGGAGAACGTGGTAACGAAATGTCTGAAGTATTGCGCGACTTCCCCGAACTTAGTGTCGAAATTGATGGAGTGACCGAGTCTATCATGAAGCGTACCGCTCTGGTTGCAAACACGTCCAACATGCCTGTCGCCGCTCGTGAAGCTTCCATTTACACCGGTAAAATTTCGGTTCAAACAAAATAAACTGTACTTTTTTATTATTAATTTAATTCTTCATTTGTATAATTAGAAATTGTATTATTTTAGAAACTGCATTTATAGTGTATTCACTATTAATTAATTTATTAAAACTAAATAAAATATTTAAAATAATACAATTTCTAATAACGAATTAGTATATTTTTGTTTTAGAAAATTGTCAAACTTTAATAATTGATTTTCTCTTTCAGGTATCACTCTTTCTGAATACTTCAGAGACATGGGCTACAACGTATCCATGATGGCAGATTCTACATCTCGTTGGGCCGAAGCTCTTCGTGAAATTTCCGGACGTTTGGCTGAAATGCCTGCCGATTCCGGTTATCCAGCTTATTTGGGTGCTCGACTCGCCAGTTTCTACGAAAGAGCTGGACGGTAATTTGATAAACTATTCAAATTTGAAAATTAAAGCAAAAAAAGAAACTAAAATTTGGAAATTGAAATAATTTAAATTTTCTTCTTTCAGAGTCAAATGCTTAGGAAATCCTGATCGTGAAGGTTCAGTCAGTATTGTCGGAGCTGTATCTCCACCCGGAGGTGACTTCTCTGACCCTGTTACGAGTGCTACTCTTGGTATTGTTCAAGTAAGTACTTTATTTCCAAAATTATTTTATAAAGTTAAATTGAATAAATTATATCAAACTTTGTCTAAAAAAAAAACTTGAGAAACTTTGTTGTATTAAACAACATGTTTTTTCCTTTTCAGGTGTTTTGGGGTTTAGATAAGAAACTTGCTCAACGCAAACACTTCCCTTCCATTAATTGGTTGATTTCCTACAGTAAATATCTTCGCGCTTTGGATGACTTTTACGACAAGAACTTCCAGGAATTCGTTCCCCTGAGGACAAAAGTCAAAGAAATCCTTCAGGAGGAAGAGGATTTATCAGAAATTGTACAATTGGTCGGTAAAGCTTCACTTGCGGAAGGCGATAAAATCACTCTTGAAGTTGCGAAACTTCTCAAGGACGATTTCCTTCAGCAGAACAGGTTTGTTTTTACCTAATAGATTGCAGTCTAAATGTTGAATTTCTCATTTTTCGAAAAATTTTATTTTAAAAGAAATTATTACTAAAAATAGTAGTAAAAAGAAATTATTACTAAAAATAGTACTGAAAAGAATTTTAGTTATTAATTTAAAAAATAAAGTGAATTAATGAATTTAGACATAAGAAAATAATAGAATTTTTTTATTTTTTATGCATTTTAATAAAACGACTGCAATTTGTTTCAGTTACTCACCTTACGATCGATTCTGTCCGTTCTACAAAACAGTGGGCATGTTACGTAACATGATTGCATTTTACGATATGGCAAGGCACGCTGTAGAATCCACCGCTCAGTCGGATAACAAAATCACATGGAATGTCATCAGAGACAGCATGGGCAACATTCTTTATCAGCTCACTTCCATGAAATTTAAGGTAATTTCCCTTAATTTTTTATTACTACAAAAAACACGTAGCATTAATATTCAAAATTTAAAATCATAATCTCTAAATCTGAATTAGTGGAAAGTCAACAAATTTAAATTAGTTAAAATTTCTGTGAATTCATTGTAAGAATTAAATTATTTTTATAAAAAGTAAAATTCTTCGCAGGAATACAATTATTTTTAATAAAATTTCGCGAAGAGATTCAATTATTTACAAAAATTTTGATAAAATTCTTCGAAATTAAATTATTTTTATAAATTGTAAAATTTTTCGTAAAAATCGAATTATTATTTTTATAAATAATGAAATTCTTCTCAGGAATTTAATTATTTTCAATGCAATTTTATTAAAATTTCTCGAACGAGTTTTCAATTATTTTTAAAAGTTGTAATAAAATTTTTCTAAAAATATCAATTATTCTCAAAAGTTTCGAATAAAATTTTTTGTGATTTTCAATTAATTTCAAAATTTTCGTTAATTTGAACGTTCGAAACTTTAATTAAACATAATAAATTCCGAAATTAAAATTTCATTCGATCATGAATTTTGACAAAACTTCAAATAATTAAAAAGATTTCCATTAAAGTTTTTGAAAAAAAATGAATTCCCCAAAATTCTTAATTAAAAGTATGAAAAGTTCAAATTTTCAAAGATTTTTATTTGAAACATTTTGAAAATTCAATTATTTATAAAAATCTACGCTATAATGCTTTCAATATTCAATTATAATCTAAAATTTTTAATGAAATTCATTTTTAAATAAATATTTATTAAAAAATTCTACGAGAATTCAATTATTTAAATACAAATAAAATGCAAATAAATATTTTATTAAATAATTGAATGTTTCTTAAAATTGAATTTTCATTATGAATTTAATCAACAAATTTTTAAATAATTGAATTCTTTGACGAATTTTAATGAAATTTTTAAAAATAATTTTATTTTTCCAGAAATTTTATTAAAATTTTTGAAAATAATTTAATTTCTGAGAAAAATTTTATTATTTAGAAAGATGATTGAAATTTCGACGTGAACTTTTGTAAATATAAACGTTGAAATAAATAAATTCCGAAATTAAAAGTTCATTGGATTATGAATTGAAATTTCATAATAGTAAATTAAATATAATGAATCGTAAATTAAATACTAAATTCAAAACAAATTTTCCAGGATCCTGTGAAAGACGGCGAAGCAAAGATCAGAGCAGACTTTGATCAGCTTCACGAAGACATCCAACAGGCATTCAGAAATTTAGAAGATTAAATCTTCAAATTTTAACTGAATTATTTGTTATTAATCTATTGTCTCGGTTCCCATTCGACTAGGAACGTTCCAATTTCAATCGTTTGGGGATGTTCCAAGAATGCAATATGCTGTGCATAGAAAAAAACAAAAAAAATATGAAAGGTAAAAATAGAAAAATCATTTTATAATCTTAATTTTTGAAATCCCCTCGATTATAATCGAAGCGATCTCGAGGATGATTTTAAAATGCATAAAGTGTACGCTCTGCTGCACAATTTTTAGTACATTCCCAATGCAATATATTTTATTGGCAAACTAATAAGTATTTGATTCCCGGATTTTTTTGTTGTTCGAGACCTGATTTTTTTTTAAGTTGAAAAAAAACGAGAAATAATTTTTAATAGTCGCTGTCCCTTATGTACTAAACTTACTGGAAGAAAGAGAGAGAAAGAAAGAAAGAAAGAGAGAGAATGAAACTGTGGGACTATTATTATATCCTTGTTCAGTTTATTTAATTATTAATTGAACACGAAACGGTCAATTATTGACTAAATTAGTATTCTACATCGAATTATTGTATATAGAAACAATCTCTGATAAAAAAAAATTTTTTTTCCTCAAATCACTTTGCATCTTATTTTTCGATTATTTATCAAGTCTCATTTTTCGCAGAGTATTAATGGCAATATTGACAAATAGTGAGACAATAAAATGGAACACCCCTAAACGCAAATAACATCTACTCCAAAAAAAAAAAAAAAAATGTGTTTCCGAGTATTCCTCTTGCTAATTTTTAAATCATTTGTTAGCGAATTCTTACTTTTGTGAAAATTGGGAATTTTTTTTTTTTTGTTTGATAAAGAAAGAAAAATCATCAATGTGGATCGCAAAATTTGCGAAATATCTACAATGTATATTACAAAAAGTATATCATAAATTGAAAGCTCTCGAATCGTTTCAATACGATAAGAGTAATATCTAATGTAATTAATTTTTGATAAACACATGGCCTTGGTGTTGCGAAAAATAGTTCGCTGAGACGACAAGATAGCTTTCAAAAGAAAAAAAAATGAAAAAAGCATAAATCGTGGAATATTAGATATTGTACTATATTATTATATTCTATAAACGTAACAGAAATTAAATGTAGGCGTTAAAAAGATTATACAATGTTGACATAATGCAGTTCAGTGCTGTTCGACAACAGAAATTTGCTTTTTAATAATTTTGTTTCAAATATATCTTATAAAATTCAGTATTTAAGAATATCACGAGATTATTAATGTTTATCGTGTTTTAAAGTCAATAAACGATTTTAATTCTAAGAGTTGATTGTTCGACAGCACTGGCATAGATATTTTATGCAGGCTAAACTTAAGGTGCTGGGTTTTTGCAGTAAACGAAACAAAAAATAATACTTCACAATGTCCACTGTTTCCAGCAACTTCAGTATCATTTCCATTGTATGATATGTAAAAAAAATCAATAAAAAATGAGAAAAAGGAAAGTAACTTATTTGCAAAACTCTTTCAAAAAAAAAAAAATTCTTTTTAACAAAAAAAGCCAGGGGTAATATAAAAGGGTTCTCTAAACTCTAAAGAACTTCATTTTTAAATAAATATTTAATAATTATTATTTTTTTATAGAAATAAAGGTATTCGAAAATTTGAAATTCAATAACTTAAGAATATTATTATAAAACATGAAGATATCGATCACTCCGAGTCTTCGACTCGGAGCGATTGCTTTCTTCATGTTTTATAATAATTACAACTTGCTACTTTGTTACTGTAACTTTTTCGAAAATTATTTTCATTATTTCGCTTATTCATTTTTAGAATTTTCAACTAAAATTTTTTAATTTTTTAAAAATAATTTTTGAAAAAGTTCTTTGAGAATTTTCAAATCCTTTTGTTTACAATTTAATTTTACGAAATTTCGATTAATCTGGTATTTTTCAATTAAATATATTAAAAATTAAAAACTTCAAATAATTATAAAAAATTCCATTAAACTTTTTGAAAAAAAATTAATTCACCAAAATTTTTGATTAAAAGTATGAAAAGTTCAAAATTTCAAAGATTTTAATTTGAAATTAATTTTTAAATCAATATTTATTAGAAAATTCTACGAGAATTCAATTATTTAACTACAAAAAGAAATATTTTATTACCTAACCAATTAAATGTTTCTTAAAATTGAATTTTCATTATGAATTTAATCAACAAATTTTTAAATAATTGAATTCTTTGACAAATTTTAATAAAACTTTAAAGAATAATTTTATTTTTTGAGAAATTTGATGAAAATTGTATTAAAAATAATAGAAATTTTGCCAAGAATTTTAATAAAATTTTTGAAAATAATTGAATTTTGGAGAAAAATTTTATTATTTATAAAAGATAAAAATTCTCGTCAAAATTTAAATTAATTTTGACGAGAATTTTTGTAAATTTTTTTAACATGATTGGATTTCTGCGAAGAATTTTATTACTTTGAAAATAATTGAATTATTGAGAATATTTTATTAAAATTTCTTTTAAAATAATTGAATTCTTTTTTGTGATACTTTATTGAAATAGTATAGACATTGAAAATAATTGAATTTTGACAAAACTTCAAATAATTAAAAAAAATTCCATTAAACTTTTTGAAAATAAATTAACTCCGCTAAATTCTTAAATAAAAGTATGAAAAGTTCAAATTTTCAAAGATTTTAATTTTGAAACATTTTAAAAATTCAATTATTTCTAAAAATCTACGCTATAATGCTTTCAATATTCAATTATAATTTAAAATTTTTACTGAAATTCATTTTTGAATCAATATTTATTAGAAAATTCTACGAGAATTCAATTATTTAAATACAAAAATAAATAATTTATTGAATAATTGAATGTTTCTTAAAACTGAATTCTCGTAAAGCATTTTATCAAAAAATTTTTGAATAATTGAATTTTCGAAAATAATTGAATTTCTGCGAAAAATTTTATTATTTATAAAGACAATTGGAATTTTGACAAGAATTTTTGTAAATTTTTTAACATAATTGAATTTCTGCGAAGAATTATATTACTTTTGAAAAATAATTGCATTCTTGAGACGAATTTTATTAAAATTTCTTTTTAAATAATTGAATTCTTTTGTCAAATTTAATTGAAATAGTAGAAATTGAAAATAATTGAATTTTGACAAAATTTACTAAAATTATTTTGAAAGGAATTTAAATTATTAAAAAGAATTTCATTTAAAATTTTTAAAAATACTTTAATTCTTTGAAAAAATTTAATTAAAAATGTATTGAAAATATAGGCAAAGGTTTTTAAAATAATTGAATTTCTTTTCAATTTTTAAGAATAATTTCATTTTTCGTGAAATTTAATGAAAATTGTATTTAAAATAATTGAAATTCTGCGATGAGTTTCACTTTTTATGAAAATTATTGAATCCCTTTAAAAAAATGTTATTATTAATGAAAATAATGAAATGTTTACGTAGAATTGTATTAAAATATTTTTTAACTAATTGAATTCTTTTGGGAATTTTTATTAAATTAGTAGATATTCAAAATTATTAAATTGAGGAAAGTTTTCGAGAATAATTAAAATTTCACCAAGAATTTTATTAAATTTTTTGAAAATAATTGAATTTCTGAGAAGAATTTTACTACTTTTGAAGATTTTTTACTTTTTCCCTTAAAATCCTTTTCATCAGTCAAAATATTTCTCCATCTTACAAAAAAATGACAATTTTCGTAAGTTTTTCCTTAAAAAAAAGAAGAATTAAAAAATTAGAAGCGAAATTAAAAATAGGAATTACAAATTAAACACTAATAATTTTTAAATTTCATTTTAATAATAATATAACAATAACCCCGCAATATATACATTAACGATATAATACATCTTTCGATCCATCATTTTAATTGCCTTGCATTTTTGATGTCCCATTGATACAAGGAAAATATTTTATTTATATATAATACATATACATTATGTATATTTATGTGTATTTCGAAAAGACGATATTAACGTGAATTCATGTAAAATAAAAACCCACGTTAATTTATCGAGTCAGAAAAAAAGACTCTTTTTAATCCTTCTCCGAAACAAATTTACATTTTCCGTAGATAATTTAATATATGCAGTATTATAAAACTTAGTCTACTTTTCAAAAATAAATTTACTATTTTTTTTTATTCTGTTTACGAGAAGAGATATTCCTACTAAATTCTCTCTCTCGCGAAAGAAAGGAAGAAATAACAGAAAAGTCTTACAAAAACAAACAGTGCAATTATATATATACTCTGAGCCCCAAAAATAGTTTTAGAAAATTAAAACGTACATCAGGGTTTTGAAATTAAATTCTTTTTTACAATAATTTTTCCTAAATATTCAACAGAAGCCTAAAAATGCAAAAAAAAGTTGAAAAAATAAAAATCTGTTACTTCACCGAAATATACACATGTATACATGTGAGAATTACATATGGTATGTATGTACATGTAATTACAGACTTGAATGATGTATCAACAAGTTTAATCTGAATAATTTTATCTCGATACGAATTTAAAACCTTAGGCTTTGTGATGATATTCCAATGGCACACAGGTTTTTGATAATTTTGTTTAAATATCTCGACATTTCCCTCTAAATACCTCTCTCTCCATTATAATTTTTTTACATATTTTTTTTTCGTTTTCTGTAAGTATTTTCATCATCTACTTTTTCTAAACTTTTGCTCAGTCCTAATAATTTGTTTATCTAAAAATATTTTCACTGCATTTAGCAGTGCGAAAAAAAAAAATAAAAATATGCAATCGATTTGAAAAGCCGATGGCCTGCTAGATTTTTTTTACCATGAAATGTTCATTCTAATGGCAAATAAAGCCTCATGATAAACGATATCTGAAATTGGATTTGGACTGCTCATAGAGTAACGCAAATCGGCATTCGATATTCACAGCCTTATCTCATTTGTTTGCTTTCGATTCAACATAGATTAAATGTGCTCATTTAAAATCGTTTCGAATTAAACTCTTTGCGAATGCAGTTCTCCGAAAGTAACCCTTGGCTTTCGTAACGATAAAATAATAATAATAATAATAATAATAATAATAATCTAATTTGCTATGCTAAAATGATTGAAAAATTGCCGCTATTTGAATATTTACAAAGAAAAAAAGAGGCAAAACAAATTTATGTTCAAGGACTTATGTGAGAGATTTCCGAATTAGCTGGATTGGACGACAATTGTGATCTAAGCTGAAGGTTTTCTCGTTTTAACTCCATTACAAGTTGCTTTAAATCCACAACTTCTTGTCTCAATCTTTCGTTGTCCCTTAAACACTGACCTAGACTTTGATTAGCAGTTCTTAATTCTCCTATGTACTCGCAAGCTTTTGCTAAAATTCCACCCTTGCTCTAAAAATAAATTTAAACATTTTTTTAAATATTTATACGAAAAGGCTTCGCACATTCATTATAAAAAATAGCAAACAGTAGTTTTGAGAAGTGAAAAAAAGAAGCTGTCGAAAAATTAGTTTTTATGAGAAAAGAAACTCGATTCATAAAAATTTAATTCCAAATACTTATTTATCTTTCCAAAAGTTTTAATATTTTAAATAATTTTAATGTAAAGAAATTTCGAAATTCAACTATGTATTTCTAAAAATTACTTAATTAGAAGTCGAGTTCGAAGCTTGAAAAAGTAAAAAAAAATCCACTTACAAATTAATAAATCAGGGTTTGCCACTCTTACTTATTTAAAATTTCCTGATTTTTCCAGGTTTTCCAGGTTAAAAAACAGAATTTTTCTAGATTTTTCAAACTATGTTTATTTTTTACCAAATGAAATAACTAATAAATTTTTATTATTTTTCGAATGGAATTTTTCCAGGTTTTTAAAACTATGTTTATTTTTTACCAAATTAAATAAACTAATAAATTTTTATTATTTTTCCAACGGAATTTTTCCAGGTTTTTAAAACTATGTTTGTTTTTTACCAAATTAAATAAACTAATACATTTTTATTATTCTTCCAACGGAATTAAAATTTTCAAAATATTCAAATTTAAACCTTTATAAAACATGAAATCGATCACTCCGAGTCTTCGACTCGGAGTGATCGATTTCTGCATGTTTTATAATAATTAAAGATGACAGAAACAATAATTTAAATTATAAGAAAATTCTTACTGCAACTTCTTCTTCAAAATTATTCCCATCATTTCAATTCAATTATTAATTTTTTTTTCTAGAATTTCCAACTAAAATTCTTCTGTAAATCAATTATATTTTTAATAATTTTTGATAAAGTTCTTTGAGAATTTTCAAATCTATTTGTTTACAATTCAATTTTACGAAATTTCAATATATATTCAATATATTCAATTTAATATATATATTAGAAAATAAGAACTTTAAATAGTTTCAGAAAAATTCAATTAAACTTTTTCAAAAAAAATAAGTTCTTTAAAACTAATAATTAAAATTATGAAACCTTTTCAAAATTCAATTATTTTTATAAATTTCACGCTACAATGCTTTTAATATTTAATTATTATCTAAAATTTTAACTGAAATTAATTTTTAAATAAATTTTTATTTGAAAATTCTAATTCAATTATTTAAAAATACGAAAATAAATAACTTATTGAATAAAAAAAATTGAATTTTAGTAAAGAATTTTATTAAAAAATGTTTTAAATATTAAATTCTTTTGACGAATTTTAATAGAATTTTTAAGAATAATTTCATTTTTCTAGAAATTTGATTAAAATTGTATTAAAAATAATTGAATCTTGTAAAAAATTTGATTTTTCTTAAGTACTTGAATTAATGCTAAGAAATTTTTTTTTTTAATTTGTAAAGAATTGAATTTCTGTGAAATTTTTATTATTTATTAAATAAATTAAATTTTTGCGTAAAATTTTAATAAATTCCTTTTTAAATATTTGAATTGTTTTGTAAAACTTTATTAAAATAGTAGATATTAAAAATCATTGAATTAAGAAAAACAAGAATTTTATAAAAATTTTTGAAAATAAATTGAATTTCTAAAAAGAATTGTATTATTTATAAAAATAATTAAAACTTTGCCGAGAATTTAAAAAAATTTTTGAACATAATTGAATTTCTGAGAAGAATTTTACTATTTACGAAAATAATTGAATTTCTGAGAAGAATTTTATTATTTACGAAAATAATTGAATTTCTGAGAAGAATTTTATTATTTACGAAAATAATTGAATTTCTAAGAAGACATTTATTATTTACGAAAATAATTGAATTTTTCAGAAGAATTTTATTATTTTTAAAGATAATTTAAATTTTGACGAGAATATTTTAAAATTTTTTAACATAATTGAATTTCTACGAATAATTTTATTAAAATTTTGAATAGGTAATTTAACTTTTGAGAAGTATTTTATTAAAACTTTTGAAAATAATTGAATTTCTGAGAACAATTTTATTATTGATAAAGATGGTAATTGAAATTTTGACGAGATTTTTTTTAAATTTTCGAACATAATTCAATTTCAGCGAAGATTTTTATTATTTACGAAAATTATATAATTTCTGCAAAGAATTTTATTGTTTACGAAAATAATTTAATTTCTGAGAATAATTTTATAATTTACGAAAATAATTGAATTTTTTGGGAAGAATCTTATTATTTATAAAGATAATTTAAATTTTGACTGAAATTTTTTTAAATTATTGAAAATAATTGAAGGTTTTGAATTAGAATTTGTGGTAATTTCAGTTTATAGACACAAAAATTCAGAATTTTCTTATGAATTCTAAAAATTGAATATTTTTCCAATACAAAAAAAAAAAAATCCAATAACTTTAGAAAACAACAATATTCCAGGATTCCGATCAAAATTTCTTGACTTTTCCAGGATTTCCATATTGTGTGGCAACCCTGTAAATATTAAACTAAATTGAAATTTAACCAAATTACCTGAGTTTCATAATTGGTTTTTCCTTCTCCACTGCTTCCGTTTCCATTACTATTAGAATGAGAATTGCACTCGGGAATAATTTTTCCTAATTTCGCAATCCAGTTGTTAATTTTGTCTCGTCTTCTACGCTCGACTTCGTTGTGTGTTGCTCTTCGTCTATCATCTCTCTAATTAAGTTAATTCATAATTAGAAAGTCAGTTAACTTTAGAAAAACGATAACTTTTTGATTTTTTCCCCTTCTTCTTACCTTTTTTAGTCCCGTGGAAGAGGTTCGTGGTGTTTCTAATTGTAAAGTCGCAGTCCTGGGTGCGAGAGATCTCGAAGTTTGAGCTGTCGTAAAAACGTCATTCGCATTTCCAATTACATAAAATTGTCCATTAAGGGGCGATGTTAAAACTTGGACCGTATTAGCCCCGGTTTGATTTACAGGAATTTCCATTTCACTTCCAGGTGGAGCTCCATTAACTTGCACCACCCGATAAGTGAGACTTTCCTGGTAACGCATTCCATCGTCAGTGACAGCCTCTCCTAATTATTTCAACAAATATTTTTATTACTTAGATTAATAAATAAAATTCATAGATATTAAGTAATAGAGTAGAATACAATTTAAAAAACACAAATCACAATTTGAATAAAGGAGATATAAATGATTTATTATACCAAATAAATGAATATTTATAAATAAATAACAAATTCATTAAGAAAAGTGTCACACATTTGTTCAAAATAGATATTGCAAAAGGTCTCGAGTAATCTAATTGGAATATGCAAATTTAATGGAAATGCAGTTTAAATAATTCTCCATCTACTATTTAACCAGTGTTATAAAATTATCATTTGAAATACATCTCAAAGTAAAACATATTTAAACATACAGAATCAATAATTAGATTCAAGAAAATAGAAAATTTGAATCAAAATAATTTAAATCAAAATAATGGCTATCGGGTTTCTCGCGAGAATCAACAAGCTGACGTCAACACATTTACTAACCTCAAATTAAAAAAATTTTTCCTCTTCAATTTAACATTCCCTGTTAGTATAATCACTTTTTTCGATTATTAATTAAAATATACTGGTAAATTGACAAATTCTTACCATCACAATCGACTATTTCTGCTTCCTCAATGACAATTCCCGTCCCATCGTCATCTTTGTGAGAAACAGAACTGGTGTATAGAAGAAAAAAAAAGATATTTTAAAATTTACAAAAGCAAGAATGTAAATATCATTTTTTATGATTATTTAACGTATAAGTTTCATAATTGCATATTAGAGGAAATGGTAAAAATATTAACACACACACATATATATAGTTAAATGCGCACTGTGCACTGTCCTGTGACCTTGACAACAACGACATGGTCAAAGCAATTGACAAGGGATATTTTAACTTATTTCACAAAACACACTGCAAAATCTACCTGACATCCTGTTGATTTAGATGCTGCTCCAACATATCCATTGTCCCCGATCAAAAAATGTTTGAATTTTGTCAAAATTCACGTGAGCTGGTCACGGGACACGATAACGAGGTCATGTGATAATAAAGATGGTGGACGTCGACGCGCGCATCCAATTGTCCCCAGATGTCGCTGCCTTTGTTTTCCAAATTTGCGGGAAATATTAAACCTTAATATATAATAATAGAAAATCTATTTTTTATTTATGAAAAAAATTGTTCTTTTATATCAATTTTTCCAAAGAATAAAAATACACTGGTATTTTCTGAAAATATTTTCTAAATTTGTTATTTGTATTTTATTTAAAAGGAACATTTTATTCAGGTTGAACCAACAGAACAATGTTTTTAACAATTTTTATTAAAAAAAGGATTATTTATTTAAATATAAAGTAAATTAGAGGAAAACAATCATTGCGCCAAAAATTTTATTGAAAAATTTAAGAGATGATAATAATAATAATAATAATAATAATAATAATAATAAGTGAAGTCTGGTGTCTGACTGTCTGTGCAGGACTGTGCGCCGTGCGGGACTGGACGCAGCCAGTCGAATTTAATTTGTGATCGTGTAAATTTACAGTTTTTTATTTAAAATACTCTTAAATCTTTTGAATTTGTAAGTTTCCAAAGTGTTTCGTCCATCCTTAAGTTACTTTGAGGCCAAGCCCGAGCCCTATAAAATGACAAGGTAATTGATAATTTGGAAATATTGTAATTTTGAGGTTATGTGTCAAAAAGCACGATGTTTACAATAATTGATTTTGCTTTTGATTTTTTTCCTAAAAATTACACATTAAGAATCTAATCTTAAAATAATTGTTAATTGCAACTTAAAGTGTTATTTAGTGTTTTTCATTATTTTCAAAACTACTTTTTAATATAGTAGAGATAAATTTTTGTTTCCGATTCATTAATTCTTTGACATTAATTCTTCTAAGATCAAAATAGTTCTTTTGCAAAAGAAAAAATTTTTACTGGAAAAATTGAAGAAGGTTATCAAATTTATATGATAATTTCCTTTAAAAATAAATTTAGATGATTTATTTATTATAAAAGAGATGCATTCGATTTATAGTTTGTTTGCCCTATGAAAATTGAATGTTTATAAGTTTATATTCTTTAAGTATTTAAATTATTCACAGGGCGAAGATTGAACTCGGTGATGTTACACCTCACAATATTAAACAACTAAAGTTACTTAATCAAGTCGTGTTCCCAGTATCATACAATGAGAAGTTTTACAAAGATGTTTTGGAAGCTGGAGAACTTGCAAAGTTAGCATATTATAACGACATAGTGGTAAGTTTGAGAATTTTATTTTCTGTAATTGTTTCGATTTTATCTCCACCAGATTAATTATTTGAAGAGGTTTAAACAACCATTAGGATCATCACTGTCGAAATGGATATTCGTTTGATATTTAATTTTCGTGATGATAGAGAAAGAAATAATTCAATTAATTATTACTGAAATACTGTTTAGTTTTCAAAAAAGTAATTACACGTAAATATAAAAGACGTTACAGTTTATCCAATTTATTGAATTAAATAGCGAAATTAAATTTAAGGTGGGCGCCGTTTGCTGTCGAGTGGACACATCAGAAAACTCTAGAAGGCTGTATATAATGACCCTGGGATGTTTATATCCTTATCGCAGGCTAGGAATCGGAACTGTAATGGTTCAACATGTTTTAAATTACGTTCAGAAGGATGGCAATTTTGATTCAATTTTTCTGTACGTATTTTCCTTTCAGTTAAACATTTTTCTACTCTGTAAAATATTTGAATATTTATATCGACTTTTTTACATTTTCCCCAGGCATGTACAAGTAAATAATGAAGGTGCTATTGACTTCTACAAAAAATTTGGATTCGAAGTCGTAGAAACTAAAAATCATTATTACAAGCGAATTGAGCCAGCGGACGCTCATGTTTTGCAAAAAACTTTACGACCACACAACTCCACTAATCATCAATTGAATACCCAATAAGCATTTTAATTCAGCCATCACCAAATGTTGTTCCATTTTCAACAATTGTACAAATTACCAATAAAATTTCGTTTCCCCTAGTTAATCATAGTTCTCATTATTTACTCACATGATTGAAAATCATTTTTGATAATAAACTAACCAACACTAATTCATAACTAATTTATAGATTTTCAAATAAACCAACAAAACTTTGTAGAAGATAAATCAGATTTTTATTTCACAACAAATCTTTATAATTTTCATTTGTTATTCAAGAAGTCGATTAAATACAAGTCACCAATTACTGAAGTATAATATAAATATTCATAATAATGCTGCAGAGAGCTTAAGTCATCACAGATAAAAAATAATATCGAATAAACAATATAAAAATATTCATTCACATTAAATAAATTAAATAAAAACAATAAAAAGAGCAGTAATTATTATAAAATAATTCTGCACTTTTAGAAATACATACATAATACACAAAATAATATCAACAAAATATACATTCATACAACATATTTTAAATATTCCTTATTTATATAAATATTAGTAGAGTTATGTATTTAAATTTGTCAATAATGACTAAATTTTCAAATTAAAAATTATTCTAAAGCAACAAAGTCCAGGTGATCGTCGTATACATTACCTCGAAAAAAAAAGATTCTTGAGCCTCTTTCGGAGAATTTGCACTTTACGTAAAAAACTATTAGTATTAATGCCTCTTCTCTCATTTAAAAAATACTTTTAATGTATACAATATAATTCATAAAATTCATAAAATTCATGGATTTAGTTATAAAAATTAATGCATATTATATATTTGCAAATAAATAAATAAATAAAATGAATGTCTGCATCTGTTGTAAAAAATTATCGGAGAAAAACTTGTAGATATTAAAATATTTACATCTGTTTTTTTCAATAGTATATAAACTGTGTGAATATTGTTAAATTGGACTCACGTGCATTTAAAATTGTTGCTTATGAAACAGCAGATAAATTAAAATTCATTATAGAAACATATGGACCTTTTTCTTTTTAAAATTGGATAATAAGAAATTGCACATTTATCAATTCATGTGGATGGACTTGTCAATAATAGAGAATTTTAACATTCAATTAAGCGCTTCCTTGAGCCATTGAAATCAGTTCCTGTATTCGTTTTACACATAATTCTGAACCATCTGCTGCTTCTTTAGAGATCTGGAAATAATTTTTTTTTAATTGTTAATTCAAAATAATGTAGAAATTAATTATTTGCAAAAATAAAAATTAAAAATCTATATTAATAAATTATAATAATCGTTGTATTCCGGTAATCTATTCGCAGTTTGAAGTTAGTTGAGCGGCCGGATCGTAGAAGGGCACGTAAATTTTTCTCGAGCGAAATCTAAGTCCCCTGAACACTCAAAATTCAACTTCTGAATTTAAATATTTTAAATACACATCCTTATAGAAAATTTCATTCCGCATCTTTTTTTCTTATGAAATTTTTTTCTATCTATTACCGTTTTCGAAATATTTTAGAAAAACTGTTTTTTTTAATACTGTAAATTGAATGACATTTTTCACTTCAACTCGCGATATTTCAGACAATTTTAAAATTTTTTCAATGAAACAAAAATGAAAATACGTCTTAAGGTATTCTACGAATGATAAAAAAAGAAAAAAGTGGTTTTCTTTATAAACAAAATTGTTATTAATTTTTTTCTTTATTAATGTAAAAATCACGAACTACAATCTTCACGGCTCTCGTTTAACGGGCGAATTTTTAGTAACAGAGAACTTTCAGTAAGAAAGTTGTTCATTATGATCCAAAAAAGTTTTCTGGAAAATAATAAGGTTAATAATTAATTAGTGTCGAAATGGTAAATGTTTAAAGTTGCTAGCGACCAAACGCATAGCACGCGCCACTGGCCATAACCTATGAAACAACACTCCCAAGCAACTATGGCGAGTGACGCGTGCTATGCGTTTGGTCGCTAGCAACTTTAAACATTTACCATTTCGACACTAATTAATTATTAACCTTATTATTTTCCAGAAAACTTTTTTGGATCATAATGAACAACTTTCTTACTGAAAGTTCTCTGTTACTAAAAATTCGCCCGTTAAACGAGAGCCGTGAAGATTGTAGTTCGTGATTTTTACATTAATAAAGAAAAAAATTAATAACAATTTTGTTTATAAAGAAAACCACTTTTTTCTTTTTTTATCATTCGTAGAATACCTTAAGACGTATTTTCATTTTTGTTTCATTGAACAATTTTTAAAATTGTCTGAAATATCGCGAGTTGAAGTGAAAAATGTCATTCAATTTACAGTATTAAAAAAAACAGTTTTTCTAAAATATTTCGAAAACGGTAATAGATAGAAAAAAATTTCATAAGAAAAAAAGATGCGGAATGAAATTTTCTATAAGGATGTGTATTTAAAATATTTAAATTCAGAAGTTGAATTTTGAGTGTTCAGGGGACTTAGATTTCGCTCGAGAAAAATTTACGTGCCCTTCTACGATCCGGCCGCTCAGTTGTTGTTTGTTTTTTTGTTTCTTATCTTTTTTAATAATTTTACTTTTTAAAATTAATTTATTGAAAATCATTGAATTCTTGCCAAGAATTGATTCAAAAAATTTGAAAATAATTAGTTTTTTTTAAACATTTTATTATTTCTGAAAATAATTGAATTCTTGCGAAGAGTTTTATTAAAATTTTTGAATATTTCAATTAAATTCTTTTTGAAGAATTTCTTTGAATTTTTTTTAAATAATGGAGTTTCTTTAATAATTTTAATCAAAAATTATGAAAATAATTGGATATTATGAACAATTTCTATCAAGTTTTAAAAATAATCATGTTTGTTAATAATTGACATTGAACACTTAATTATTAAATTTTATTCAAACTTTAGAAAATAATTGAATTCTTTTAAAAAAATTTATAACGAATGAAGAATGAATAACGAATGAAGAAAAAAATTGAATTCTTTCGTGAAATTTTTTTGAAAATAATTGAATTTTACTATTTATAAATATAATTGAATTGTTTTGAAGGATTTATTAAAACTTTTTAAAATAATTGAAGTTTTTCGATAAATATTATTAAAAATTAAAAAAACAATTGAATTCTTTCATGAAATGTTATTAAAATTGCATTAAAAATAATTGAATTTTTGCAAAGAATTTTAATATTTATAAATATAATTGAATTTTTTCGAAGGATGTATTAAAATTTTAGAAAATAATTGAATTTTTGCAAAGAATTTTATAAAAATTTTGTTTAAAAAATTGGATTACTGCAAAAAATGTTACTGTTTATAAAAATAATTGAATTTTTGCGAAGAATTTCTTAAATTTTTTTAAAACAATTGAATTCTTGTTAAAAATGTGATAATAATTCAATTCTTGAGAAGAATTTTATAAAATTTTTCTTTAAACATTGTATTTCTGAAAAAATTTTACTATTTATAAAAATAATAAAATTTTTTCGAATGATTTATTAATATTTTAGAAAATAATTTAATTTTTTTGAAAATAATTTAATTTTTGCAAAGATTTTATAACGAATTAAGAAAAAAATGGAATTCTTTCTTGGCATTTTTTTTTTAAATAATTGAATTTTTGCAATGAATTTATTAAAATTTTTGAAAATAATTGAATTCCAGTAAAGAACTTTATTATCTGGGAAAATAATTGAATTTTTGCAAAGAATTTTATAAAGATTTTGTTTAAAAAATTGGATTACTGCAAAAAATGTTACTGTTTATGATTTATAATTGAATTTTTGCGAAGAATTTCTTAAAATTTTTGAAAATACTTGTATTCTAGTTAAAAATGTGATAATAATTGAATTCTTAAGGATAATTTTATAAAATTTTTCTATAAAAATTGTATTTCTGCAAAGAATTTTACTATTTATAAATGTAATTGAATTTTTTCGAAGGATTTATTAAAATTTTAGAAAGTAAATTGAATTTTTTCGAAATATTTTAAAATTCTTTCTTGAAATTTTTTTGAAAATAATTGAATTTTTGCATAGATTTTATAACCAATTAAGAAAAAAATTGAATTCTTTCGTGAAATTATTTTGAAAATAATTAAATTTTTTCAATGAATTTATTAAATTTTTTGAAAATAATTGAATTCCAGTAAAGAATTTTATTATCTCGGAAAATAATTGAATTCTTGCAAAGAATTTTATAAAAATTTTGTTTTAAAAATTAGATTACTGCAAAGAATTTTATAAAAATTTTGTTTTAAAAATTAGATTACTGCAAAAAATTTTACTGTTTATGAAAATAATTGAATTTTTGCGAAAAATTTCTTAAATTTTTTGAAAATAATTGAATCCAGTTAAAAATGTGATAATAATTGAATTCTTGAGAAGAATTTTATAAAATTTTTCTTTAAAACATTGTATTTCAGCGAAAAATATTACTATTTATAAAAATAATTGAATTCTTACGAAGAATGTTATTATTTATAAAAATAATTGAATTCTTGCGAAGAATTTTACTGAAATTTTTAAAATTAATAAACAAGAATAATTAATTAGTAAATTAGTTAATAATTGAATTTTTTTAAAGTTTGAATCTGAAATTATTGAAAAATTCATATTTGAAAATAAAAAATTTTGTAATTTGCCTAATAATGATAAATTTAATATCCCGTTCCGCGCGCGCATAACATTTGCTAGTTCTTTAATAAAATAATTAAAGTAATTAAACTTACCAAGGATAAATTTAAAAATCCATGAGGTAGGCCGGGTAGAATATCGAGTGTGATGGAATTTCCAAGCTTCAGAAGTTTCTTAGCAAACATTACACAGTCGTCAAGGCAAGGATCGAATTCAACTGTCTGTAATTATGAAAAATAGTTGTAACGTTATAAAATACTTTTGCTAAAATAATAAAATAAAATGTGAAATTACCAGTATCTTAACAGGTGGAAATTTACTGAGAACACTTTCAGAAGCGAGGTAAGGACTCAAGAGTGGATGTCGAGGAACGCTGAATACAAATTCATCGAGAGGACTTCTCTCGTCACTATTTTCCATTTTATCGTCGTCACTTTTTTTAGAACTCCATCCAAAGAGAGACCACGATTTAGAACTAGTGGATCCTTCACTGTCTTTTCCTTTGCTTCCATTCAACATGGGAAAAGATGTACGTAAATTGGAATTTTTATACAAGTTCAGAAACTTTTGTATATACTCTTGAGACTTTGCTTTTTCTTCTGGAAGTTCTGAAGCTAAAATAAAAATGAATTTGAAAAAAAATCTATTTTTAGGTACAAAACTTTGTTTAGTTTTCCTTTTTAATTCACTATTAGTAAATAGTCCATTAAAACGAAAACTAAACAACGTTTTTTAATTGTCAGTTTGGAAACGAACCTTGTGCACCATCCACATCGGCCAGACTGACAGAATTCAATGTTGAATCCGAAGGTAGAGATGCAAGTTTAGGCTCATCTTCATCACCATTAGGACTCAAAGCCAGAGCAATTAAATCACTTTCACTGACTTCGGCAAACGATTCGGTGTCTGATTTTGAACTTTCTTCGTTTTCATCAGTTTCCCTGGAAAAATATTTAGAAATTTATGTTTATATATAATCTCAAGAGACTTATGATAATATTTATTCGTTAACCGTAAAGAAAATCCTACATTTGAGATTTCTTTGTATTTCCCAAAGCGTACGCTTTCAGGCATCTCATCATAAAACCAAATGGTAATAAAGGATCCGTGAGACATAGAAGACGAGCTGGCGATGGAATAAATTCCACCCAAACAGGCACATACGCCATAAATATTCCGTTGGGTCTTCGAATATTTAATTCAAAACATTTGAGGGTCGTTCCTAATATTAAATTAGCACCGGCCGAATCTCCTGGAATTGTTCAAACAAATTCGAAATTATTTTCTAAAACTATTTCATTCATAAATATTTTCCTCAAGTTTTGAACGTTCAAACGAACGACTATTTTCTTTCTATTTAGATATTTTCGAAAATTTTTGGAATAAATTAAAAATAAAATATCGTTAAAATTTATAGAAAGGAATTTATTTTCTAAATTGCCAAAAAAATATTTTCGAACAAAATATAAATTTTCGACGAAATAGGAAAAAAATCGTCGTTCATTTAAACGTTCGAATCATTAGGAACATTCATAAATTATTTTATTAATAAATGAATATTAATATTAAAGTATAGAATGTAGTTTTTCAGAAACTTTGTTTTTGTTAATTAAAAGTTTCTTTGTGGCCTTTGGTTCGAATGATAATAAAATATTAATATTAAAGTATATTGAAAAAAAATTACCTATAAAGATGATTTTTTGAGCAGTGCTGCCTAGTAAAGTGCTGGAGTGATTCAACACCCAAGCGTAAGTGTAGAGGATTTCCTCCAGAGCCCGAGGAAATGGAGCCTCGGGAGCTAAACTGTAATCGATACTTAAAATTGGCACATCTAAACTCACAGCCCAATTGCGTAAATAAACTTCATGTGATTTGGAACTTTGCGATACGAATCCACCTCCGTGACAGTGTATCACAAGAATTTCTGATTGATTTTCTAATCGGCCTCCAGCGCTTCCTGATCCTACCTGAAAACGAAATAATAAATCAAATATTAAAACTACATCATAAGGCTGACAATAATAATAATAAATTTGAGAAAAATTCTACAGACCATTCCTATTCTTCGCTTGGCACTCATCAACCTGACGTGAATCGGTTTCTTCCCAATGTGACTTGTTGGAATGGGAATAGAAATTGTTTCATTTTCCAAAGTAATCAGATTTATTTCCTCAGGTGGTATGGAAATTATTTGGTTAATGACTAATGTAGGCATTACAATGGATGGATAAATCTGCGCTATGCCTGTAAAATATTAAATAAATTAAAATTACGCTCTTATTAACATTAATTCATTCATTCATTCATTCATTCAGCACTACAATTAATTAATTTAGGATCACAGGCCTTTTTTCTCTCAAATATAGGTGAAAAGGAGAATTATTTTCCGAAAATAGGTAACAAATAGGAGATAAAAAAATTAAATAAAAGACAAAATAAAAATAAAAAGTAGAAATAAAATGTGCAAAATAACTAATTTGTATTCAAATAATTAAAACATTTTTATCAATAATTATAGCTAAAATAGTTCAAAATTTGGATAATTTGGCATTTTTATTTTTGAATACTTTTAGATTCAAAATTTCAAAAATTCACTTATTATGTACATAATTAATTATTATTGTTTATTATTTTCAAAAAGTTTAATAACATTTTTCGCAAAAATTCAATTATTTTCTATACAATTTTAATAAAATTTTACGAAAGGATTCAATTATTATTATAGTAAAATTTTTTTAATAAATAATAAAAATTTTCTCGGAAATTCAATTATTTTCAATACAATTTTAATAAAATTCAATAATCAAATTTTTAATTATTAATGCACACGATTATTTCAAAAAGTTGAAAAATATTCTTTGTTTAATTCAATTATTTGCAAAATTAGCAACTTAAATTAGTAAAAAAAACTGCATTATTTTCAAAAAACTTAAAAACATTCTTCAAAAGAATTTAATTATTTACAAAAGCTCTAACAAAATTGTTTAAAAGAATTTAATTTTCTATCAATAATTTTAATAAAATTCAATAGTAAAATTATTAATTACAATAAATTATTAACAAAGTCAATTACTTTCAAAAGTTTCAATTAAAAATATTTTAAAAACTCCATTGTTTAAAAAAATTTAAAAGCAATTCTTCAAAAGAATTTAAATAGGATTTTCAAAACTGTTTACAAAATTCTTCACAAGAATTCAATTATTTTCATAAATAATAACAAATTTTCAAAGAAATTCAATTATTTTCATAAATAATAAAATTTTTTGAAAAACTTCTTTGCAAGAATTCAATGATTTTCAATAGATTTATATTAAAATTGAAAATTCTTTTAAAAAGAAAATTTTTTAAAAAAGCTAAGAAACAAAAAAAGCAAACAATAACAAAAACATCATTCATTTCAAAGTTTGCAACTTTAGGAACATAAAATTGGAATAAAATTATAATTTTTATCGATTGGAATTTGAATCGAATAAAATTTTATTACATTGTGATTAATTATAATTCAATTTAAATTAATTATATTTCAAGTAGATTCAACTTTAGACAGATTGAATTTTACTTTAATTAAAGTGAAGATTATAATAAGAATTTTAATGAATATAAATATTGATCCTTCAGAATTTTAATCAAAAAGTACTTGGAGTAATTAAAATTAAAGATTAATTGAAATTTGAACTCCTGAGCAAATTTTAAATTAACGAATAATTTCAATGAATTGAAACTTTGATCAAATTGTATAGAATTTATGATATGAAAAAAGGTGAGAATGTTAATTTTATGATCGTTCAATTAATTTCTGCTCATGAATATTAAATATTTCAAAGTTAATGAATTTTTTTGTTATTTATACTTGACATTGTAAGTTCAAATGTTCTTGAAATAAATTGCATCAATAAATTTATCGAAGCATGAAAAAGTGGTAAAAAAGGCAACAAAGTATCAAGTTAGATAAAAAAAAAAAGTTAAGAAATTACAATATTAAAATAGGTGAAAGAGAGGACAAAATTTCAAATAAGTAAAAAAGGTAAATATGATGGAAAAATAGATATTTTTCCATCATATTTACCTTTTTTACCTATGTATTTGGAATTATTATACAAAATATGGAAATCTTACCCGATTCGTTGAGTAGCCAAAAAGCTTTGCAAAAGGAAATATCTGCATTTTGAGATATATTAACTAGACAGCGTGCCTTTGCTTCTGGATCCGATACATATTTCAGAGAATTGCCCCATCTTTCCAACATATTTCCTTTTGAGAAAAACGACTCGCTAAATGCCGCCATGCAAATCGATATTGTTCTCAATATAACTTGCATGCTGCTGCAAAACTGAAAATTTTTTTTATTAATTTTATTTTCTAGTTGCGTTTAAACTTTAAATATAAAATAATTTTTGAAGCCAACCTGAAATCCTATAGATCTGCCATAGAAACAATACTGATTGACAGCTTCTGCTTGATTTAAAAGTTCCTGTGGACCATGATCTTCCGAGGCAAATAAAGACGGTTCTTTATTTTCATTCGCTATACTCCAGGAGTAGAGAGTTTGTAAGTGTTGCAACAAAGTAAATAACGAGGCAAAAAGTTGCGAGCACGTCTCAATTTCTCTGAAAATCAAATTTTCTACTAAGATATTTTGTTAAAATTGAAGATAATTTTAAACTTAATTTTTAATTTAAAAGATAATTTTTTTTCCATCATCTTCCAAAAATCGAAAAAAAATTTTTTATAAATATATTATAATGGAAGGAAAAACTATTTCAAATTGAACGAATACATTTTTGAATTTTGTCGAAATAAAAAATAGTATAAAATGTATAAAATAATAGAAAAATAAAAAGAGGAATAAAATTTCAGAACAAAAATAACTTTTCAAGTCACTTACTTGGTGTGAAAACTTTTGGAGAAAAATAAATAATCCTTCTGTCGATACATTCGATGACAAACATTTTCAGTGTATAAAATACACTTGTCGACTAAAACCAAAAAACTTCTGTATCCATTACCCGGTGTTTTTGAATCAAAATCGAACTGTGGGGCAATTTTGCCAATTTCTTGATAACAAGGATACAATTGACCCAGGTAATCCAAACAAGCAATTAAAGCACTTTTTATCCTGATACTTCCATCGTCTTGCTCTGCAGCAAAATATTTCACATTTGCCTGGCATATTTCCCTCAAAGCAGCCCATTCTGGAGGTTCAATGTCCTCGAAGGGTCTCTCAAAATCATCGTCAGAAGACATCGTCAAAATTTCTTTACACTGACAATTTATCAGCTGTCAAATTAAATGCGAAAATCCGAGTCATTCAAATTTTTAAACTCGGATACACTTTAGTCAAATTTCAAGAATAATCCTTCAATTCTTTCGAGTTCATGTTCCTGACATGAATTAGTTTATTTCTCTTTATTTTCGAGATCATTCTTTCATCATCATGTTTCTTGAGTGAGGTTAAGTTTATGAAAAAAGTTGTCTATTGCATCGAAATACAAAGCACTAATGAATTTACTGAGGAATTAAGTACAGAGATGATTCAGCATTACGTTTATGACGTACATTTTAATTTTGAATAATTTTGTGTAAATGAAGGAAAATTGTAAATATTGCTCTTCAATTTTTATACGCCGCAAGTGTCAAGGACACTGTTTTTGTTTTTCACAAATGTGTTTTGTTGCACATTTTTTTCAATGAGGTACTTCACACTGCACAATTATTTGATGTTACAATTATAACAATGGAGTAATTAATTTTAATTTCGTTCTCTTTGTCAGTTGCGGAATGACATCGAACAGCTGTTCGAAAGACGAATCGACCCAAGTCGCACCCACGCGCATGGAAGTGTTTATTTTTGAGACAAGTAGAAAAATTTGCGCATTTTTACTTTTTTATTAGTGGGAAAAATAAATAATAATAACTCGTTTGTTAAATTCTGGTATTTTATTATACTATTTAATTCTTTTTGTAATTTATATAAATAGTTTTGTCGAACCGGTTTTTATAAACAATAGTGTCGGTATGTTATCTATTAATTGCGACCCCTGTAAAAGGGCGTTTCTGAAGCTTTCATGTATGACGGGTAGCATCTTAGTAGAAAAATTATAGGCGCATAACGCATTGAATTCTTAGTTAATTTATTAAAAACTTGTTTGTTTACATGTTCGTAACTAAATTTATTTTTATATATAGTTTTTATCAATCATATCTTTAAAAATACCTTTCAACATACTGGCGTAAAATTTATTACTTTCTAGTCTTTTCAATAAATCATTTACACAATTTTCCGTGTGAACGGAAATAATTGGTTGGGTTTTTTCCTTCAAGAAGCCATCGAGTGCAAAAAGAGCCATGCAGGCACCGAAATTTCCAAAAAGTTGTAAATGTTCCATAAATATTTCGAATGGAAAAATTTGTTCAACCTTCAAATTGAATTTGCATAAAAATTCCGCGAGGGACTTGTAATAATCATTTAACAATCGATCGTAATAAATTTGTCGCATTTCTTGGGTGCAACAAACAAACAGCATATAAACAATATCTAAAATCGGTGAAGCATAACGATGCATTTGAAAATCCATGCAGCAGAAATCTACTGGCTCAGAATTCTGTAAGTAATTATATTTATATTATTATGAAACTTATGAAATAAATTTTTAAATACAGGCAAATACAGGTAATGTATTTGGAGGTTATGGTACGTTGAAAAGTCATTTTTTTGCATTTTTTCCTTCATCAAAGTTTTGCTTTTAATTTAATGATTCGCAATGATAATATATAAAAACAGAAAAGTAATTTATTTTCCAAAAATTGCAGCTTATTTTTACGAAATACAATCGAATCAATAATAAATTAGGATATTTTTCGACACTTGCCTCGTTATATTTGAACAACATATTATTAGTCCAAAAATCTCCGTGATTTATTGTTGCAAACGGCTCTGCGTTAAATCCATTCGTGACATATAAACAAGATTTGAATACATTGTCTCGAAAATTATTAATTTTATCAACATAATAAGTGCCCTCACTTTCTATAGCCTGTAAATATTTTTCAATTAACAGGATTAACAGTTTGTCAAAAAAAAAAAAAAATTAATTTCTACACTTTTATTTTTAATAAATAGAATTTCAAATAAAGTACAGTGCATGAATGTGAATATTCTCAATTAAAAATATTTTAAAATTTTACCTAATTAACATTAGTCTTTGAATTTAAATTTGCCCGCCAATATTTGTTGCTCTAGAAACTTTGGTGATTCCCAGAATTCTTAAATTTGCATTTAGTATTTTAAAAGACTTTTATTAAATATTAAGCACCGGCCAACTTGCAAAAATTATTAAAACAAATTATTATAAATTTGCATTTTGTAAAAATATATTTCGAAATTCAGTCTTACTGTGAAATTTTCACTGACCTTTATTGCGACATCGCAAAGATTTCCATACATTTTCGTGTAATCCTCCTTTTCAAAGAAAGCCGTTTCCTTGATTGATTTAATAGTTTTTTCGAATAATTCCGGATTTTTTGCCTGAAGAATGAAACCGTAGGCATGAAAACGGGCAAGATGTTGAAGTGCAATTTGTGCATGTGCATAATCGAGAATCTGTGATTTTTTTGCTGTGAATCCACGGTGAGAAACGTCTTCCAATATTAACACCTATAATAATTAATTTATGTAAGTCAATTTATTTACAATAATTTATTAATTGATTCTTATAAATTTATTTCCTGCGGCGATATTATTGATAAAAATAGACGTGAATTTAAAACTGTTTTTTAATGTTTAAGAAAATATTTGTGACGCGCTCCGAAAAAAGGAGCAAAAAATTTGAGGTTATGTTTGTAATTTTTAGAACGAAAATACACAAAAGGAAATCAACTTTTTACTATAAATCACTGGCACAAGTTTTCATTAGATCCAAAATATTCGGTAAATTCTCACTTCAATTTTACACAATTAAACAGAAACTTTTAATTATAAGGGAAAAACAGGAAAAATAAAACAAACATAACCATACTTTTTAGCTTATTTTTTTCGGAGCGCGTCACGAAAAATTAAAAGAAAAATTTAATTATTTTTTCTATAATTAAAAATCTGTATTATTTTCGATAGAAAATAAACTTTTTTTACCTCGTCGCCTTTAGTTTTACAACAACCGTAATAAATAGGAATATCCTCAATTTTCACATTATTGCCACATTCACTTAATAATTGATTAAAAACAGGAATTTTCTCCTCATAAAAACAAATTTCATGATGATAAAAATTTCGTACTTTAAGTTCATTAAAAATAACTGTACTCTCTTTTGGACAGCACTTAATGACCAGATTATAAGACAGACTTTTATTTTCATCAATTTTTTCTCCCTCCAATTGAACTCGATAGATACTTCCTAGAAAATTACTAACACCCACATTGCCACTGGAAACTTTAATTTTAACATTCGTCAATTTTTGCTTTTCCACAAAAGAATTAATGTGCACTTGAAGAAATTCAAAATTCGAAGTCATGTTGAAAAAAAATAAAAAGTAAATTAAATTAATTTTGGATTAATTAAATTAAATTATAAATTCAAATAGTTAATTATTAAATAACTTGATTACTATTTTATAATTTAACAAGTAAAAAAATTTTTTTTTTTAATACAAAAATAAATATTTTGTATTCAATTAGTCAGTAACAGTAAAAAGCGTTTGAGCGAAAATGTCCCAATGAATTGAATCAATTAATAATCTCATTACAACTGAAAGTGATAAAATGTGTCAAACTGTCAACACATAGTTTTCTTTTTTACTCGAGATAATTTCTGATCAATTTAATTAATGAGATAAATTCTTCGTACTTTCATGTGAGTTACATGAGTAGCACTTATATTATAAAATATTATTTAATTTTATGTTTATTACGTGTAAAATTTATTATTATTAAATTATGCAAATTACAAAATTTTTTATATTCAAATATAAAATTCAATTTTTGAATAATTTCGGATTCAAAATTTAAAAAATTCACTTATTAAATACATGGTTAATTATTATTATTGTTTATTATTTTCAAAAATTTTAGTAAAATTCAATCGACAGAATTCAATTTATTATTTTTTTTATAAATAATAACACTCTTCTGAAGAATTCAATTATTTTTATATAAATCGTAAAATTTTTTGCAGAAATTCAATTACTTTGAAAACAATATAAATAAAATTTCACGACACAATTATTAAATTATTTTTAAAAATTTTTAATAAAATTTTTCGAAAGAATTCAATTATTTTTCGAATTTTTAATAAATTCTTCGAAACAATTCAATTTATTATCAAGAATTTTAATAAATTTCTTCCCAAGAATTCAATTATTTCAAAAAATAATAAAAATGTTCACAGGAATTCAATTATTTTAAAAAATTTTAATAAATTTCTTCCCATGAATTCAATTATTTTCGAAAATTTTAATAAATTTCTTCCTTCCCAGTAAACGAAAACTAATTGAAATGAATTAAAAAGAATTCACAAAGAGCTTTCGTGAATCCCGCTTTGTGACAAATACGAATTGGAGCCATGATGCAATTTTCCTGAATTCGTGAAACTGTATTGAACTTCCGAACCTTCTATCCGTACCAATTCACTGGACAAGTTTTGAGCCTTTAATTTTTTTCAATTCGTTAGCACGAATTCAATGCATTCCTTGGCCATTTCTTTCGAATGCGAATTCGTTTGGACAAATTGGTACATATTGAATTAAATTCAATTGAATATACAAAGAGCTTGAGTGAATCCCGCTTTGTGACAAATACGAATTGGAGCCTACCAAAAATGTTAATTCGTTTCAATTCATTTGAATTAGTTTTTTTTTACTGGGTTAGAATTCAATTATTTTTAAAAATAATAAATTTCTTTCCAATAATTCAATTATTTTCAAAAATTATAAATTTGTTCACAGGAATACAATTATCTTTAATATACAATTTTAATAAAATTTAATAATCAAACTTGTAATTATAATTATTAGCAAACACGATTATTTTTAAAAAATTTAGTTTTCCACCAACAATTTTGATTAAATTTAATATTACCTAAAATTATTAATTACAATTATTAACAAAATCGATTATATTAAAAAAAATTAAAGAAATTTTTTGAAAGAATTCAATTATTTTTAGTATTTTAATGAACTTCCGTGAATTAATTAAATTGTTTTTAAAGAATTGTAATAAAATTCTAAAAAGATGTTAATTATTTTCAAAAAATTTTAATAAAATTTAATAATTAAAAGTTTGCGATTTCAATTATGAAGAAAAACGATTATTTAAAACACTGGAAAGAAAATCTTTATAAAATTCAATTACTTTAAAAATTGCCAATTAAAATTATTAAGGAAACTGCATTATTTAAAAAAATTCAATGAAATTCTTCAAAAGAATTTAATTGGGCAAAAATTTTAATAAAATTCTTTGCAAGAATTCAATTATTTTCTTAAATAATAAAATTTTTCGAAGAAATTCAATTATTTTCAAATTTTTTGATAAAGTTCTTTTCAAGAATTCAATTATTTTTTTAAATAATAAAATTCTTTAAATGAATTCAATTATTTTAACAAACAACAAAATTCTTCAAAGGAATTAAATTATTTTCAAATTTGCTAACAAAATTCTTTGTAAGAATTCAATGATTTATTATTACATTTATTTTAAAATTGAAAACATTTAAAGAGAAAAAATATTATTTAAATACTTTATTAAAATTCGTTACTTTGAAAAATTGCTATTTTCTTAACTATTTTTTCTACTTCTTTCTTAACTATTTTCAAACATATTTATTTACTTTGAAAATGTAGAATAATTTTATATTTATAATTACATTACAAAAAAAGCATAGATTTGAAAAGCAAATTTGTTATGTATGTCAGCAGTATTACAATACTTTAAATACTATTTACATAAAAATAAAAATGTAAGAACGAACTGTGATAGTGTAAAATATATAGTGCGAATATTTTGCTTTTCTTAATGCACTTAATTTTTCTAAATAATTGTGTCAGTTCATTTTATTACCATCAGTAATTAAAATTTCACTAAATGAAATTTTTATGAAAAAGTTTTATGGTGATAAACTTAAAATTTTTGATACAATTTTATAAGCTCAAAAAAAAAGAAATGAAAATAAAAATATAAATTAAATTAAATTAAAATGAAAAGAATTTTTATAACAATTTTATTAGCTCAAAAAAAAAGAAAATGCAAATAAATAGAAAATAAAATCAAAATGAAAAGAAAATAGAAAAAAAATGTAAAGATAATAGAAAAAATAAAACATATGGTATCTAAATGTATTATTAAATTTTACGAATATATAAAAATTATCCGATTACAGAAACATTAGAACAAATTAATAGAAATATCAATAATTAGTTCCAATTAAAATTACAAGAATTTAATATGCATTTTACTATTGCAATCATTACACATTAATTAATAAATCAACGACCAATAAAGATTGAATAAATATAAATGAATTTAATATGTATAGATATACAATCCGATTAATTAAGAATTAGTACGGTACACATATAAAAGTCTTGTCTACCATGTCTTTCACGGCAGATTTCATCATATTGTAATACAACTTGTTGGTTTTTAAACGATTTCGCAAGCTTTTGATATATTCAATATCAGTGAGTGGTTGAATATCCTCTCCATCTTGCTGTGCAATAAGATGAATATCCACAAGAGAAATAATCGTACTGAAAACTCCAAACTTTTGAAAATGACCAATGAGAACTTTGAATGGCAGCAATTTTTTAACATCACAATCCATATTTTTTAGACAATTCGACAACGAGTCGTAATAGTCGTGTAACAATTGATTACAATATTTTCTCCTCATTTCCGGAGTGCAACACGTCATTATCATGTACATTAAATCCAATGATGGTGAACCATAGCGACAGAGTTGGTAGTCCAGTAGACGAAAATCCACCGGTTCTCGATTCTGAAAGAAAAAAAATTTATGAATTGGAGAAAAAATATTTTTTCTTTTACTTTATTTCAACGGGGAAAAATGAATAAAATTTTATTATATTTATTTGAAAAATAAATAAAAGTTTAACAAATTTTAATAAATTAAATTAAATTAAGAAATAAATATTTAAATAAATATTAAATTAAATTAAATTTTAATAAATTTAATAAATTAAATTTTATTGTATTTATTTTTGAAATAAAGTGAAATTAAAAATATTTCGTAATATTGAAAATAGTTGCTACCTCGTTGTATTTAAAGAGCATATTGTTTGTCCACATATCGCCGTGATTAAGAGTGGCATACGGTTCAGAATTTTTACCATCGCAAGCATCGGTTATTAATTGGGTTAAATTTTGTTTGAGTCCTTTGACACTCGCTGTGTAATATTCATCTTCATCTTTAATTGCCTGCAAACATATAATTAAATAAATAAATAATTAAATGTATATTAATTATAAGTAAATAATAGTTTCGAAAAGGTATTTTGATTCAAAGAAAATTTCGTTGCCAAACCAATTTTTTTTTTTTTGATTCAAAAATAATTTTGTCGATTTAAATAAAATTTTCTTTAAATCCAAGAAATTTTATTCTTTAAATCGAAGAATTATTTCATCGACCCTAGTGTCGAAGAAATAATTCTTTGATTTAAAGAATAAAATTTCCCTAAACCAAATAAATAGTTTTTTAATGAAAAAATTTTTTTCTAATTAAAGAAATGTTCATTAAATCAAAGAGAAATTAATTTTCAATCGAAGAAAAAAGTCAAAGTCAAAGATTTAAAGAAATCATTTGATTTCTTTAAATTAACTCAAAATCTTTTGTACATTTCGAAACTTAGTGATTAATTTTCTTTTATAGTGACGCAAAATTCAGTAATAAAAATTTAATTTGAGTGAATAAATATTTTTAAATTTAAATTATTCTTTTTGAAAAAAAAAATTTTTTTTAATTGAAAAATCTTTTTAAAAATAATTTATCTTTCTCCACCTCAAGGGCAACATCCATCAGTGCGTCAAAATGATCCGAAAGTTGTTCTGGAGCGGGAAAAAGTGGCTCTTCAATGTTCTTCAAAAGTTCAAATTCTTCTGGTCTCTTGTCTCGAAGAGCAAAACTGCAAGCGTGAAATTTACCGAGACATCGAACTGCCATTGCCGCATGAGAATAATCCAATAATTTCGACTCCTTCATAACGTATCCCTTGGCATTTAAATCTTCCATAATGATAATCTGCGAAATTCGAATGATATTAATCTAATGATGCAAAAAACGAAATACAAAAAGGAAATCCAAAAAGAAAATACAAAATGAAAAATCGAAAAGAAAAAAACAAAAAAAATACGGAAAAGAATTACGAAAAGAAAATACAAAATGAAAATTCGAAAAGAAAATACGAAAAAAAAATACAAAAAGAAAATTGGATAAAAAATACAAAAGGGGAAATTTGAAAGAAATACAAAAAAAATTCGAAAAGAAAAAACAAAATTAGAATTCGGAAAAAAACACAAAAAGAAAATTCGAAAAGAAAATACAACAAGAAAATTCGAAATAAAACGTACAAAAAGAAAATTAAAAAAAAACACAACAATATAAAAATTGGTAAAGAAAAGAAAACAAAAAGATTTAAGTAAAATTTACCAAAGTTTTCACTTCCATTTACAATATTGCGATATTAACAAAATACAATTAGTAAAAATTAATTAAAATAAAAAAAATTGTACCTTATTTCCGGGCAAATTGCGACAACCATAATACTCAGGCACCTCATCCATTGTCATATCATATTTTTCCAGCAGCTTCCTAAACAACGGAAATCTCGTCTCATAAAAATTGATTTCACTGAGAAATAAATTTTCCGTTCTCAATAAATGCCTAAATTCTCCACTAATTGGAAGACATTTAAAAATTAAATTCATCTCCCTATTCTCCTCACCATTCTCCTCACTTTCAATTCGAACTCGATATAATGAGCCCAAAAAATTATCACCATCCTTGCTGGCATTTGAAAAATGAAATTTTGGATTTGTAATATTTTTCTCTTTCGCAAAACGTTCGATTTCTTGTTCTAAAATTTCGAGTGGTTCTTGACAGGAAGACATGATTTTTGGGGGGAAATTTCGAGAAAAAAAAATTTCTTATTGTTTTGTCTCACGAGATATTTTGTGCTCACGTTCGTTGCACTTCTGCAAAACTTTGCAGAACTTTTGCGTAGATTTTATCTGTTTGAATGATTTTCAAGGAATGCACAATTACAGGCAATGAGTAGGCTTATCATAGTCCGTTACTTGTGCACAACTACAACTCAGAAAACCTCAGTCATTAAGGTAGTCCAGGGACGTTTAATAATTGGAAAGGCCCATGTTTCATTTTTTTATATAAATAAAGAGAGGGGATGGATTTTTTTAAATACAATAACTATTGTCAGTGTGAGAAATGAAATTTACTTTATTTTTTTAATTAGCAATAATTGCGTCATTAAAAAACATTAGTCACAAAATTTCTGAATGTACACGCAGAGAAATTTTTTTGTTGATTTAAAGGAATCATTTCCTTTGACTTGTTTCTTCGAATCAAAACAAAATTTTTTTTATTTAAAAACAATTTCTTTGATTAAAAAGAAATTTCTTTCATTCAAGAAATTTTTTTTTTATTCAAAAACAATTTGTGATTTAAAGAAATTTCTTTGATTCAAAAACAATTTTTTTATTCAAAAAAATGTTATTTGAATCAAAAACAATTTATTTGTTGCAAAAACTTTCTTCGATTCAAATACAAATTATTTGATTGAAAAAGATTTCTTTTATTTAAAAACAATTTCTTTTATTCAAAAGAAATTTATATGAATTAAATACAATTGATTTTATTTAAAAAAAATTTTTTCATTTAAGAGACAATTCTTTCATTCAGAAAAATTTCTTTTATTAAAAACCAATTTTTTTTATTCAAAAACAATTTATTTGACTCAAAAAAATTGATTTGTTTAAAAAAAAACTTTCTTTGATTCAAGGAAAAATTTCTTTCAGTCAAAAAAGTTTCTTTGATTCAAAAACAATTTATTTAATTAAAAAAGAATTTCGTTGATTTAAAAATCAAATATTTTTGAATTCAAAGAAAATTTGTTTAAATTGACGAAATTCTTTTTGATCAAAAAACCTCTTTTTGTTTTAAAGAAAAATTTATTTTGAATGAAACAATAAAGTGAGTCTAAGAAGCTGATTTCTATATGAATTAACAAAATCTTTTTTCTGGGCGTAAAATTTAAGTTTTTAATTTTTATTGCAATTTTTATTACAATATTTTTAATAAAAAATATTTCATTGACTTGAACGTTTAAACTTGTGGGTAATTTATGAAATAAATATTTTTTGTTTCTAGATTTAATTGAATTTTTCATCAATTTGAAAATTCTAATTCTTACCTATATTTTTTAATTTCTTACTTAAATTAAGAATAGAAAAATAATAATTTCTTTTATTAAATTTTCTTAATTTGAATTAAAAATTAGTGCAGTAATAAAAAATTTTGAGAATTTTTGAATAAATACTCGGTTAAAAAAATATTTCATGAAATAGAGAAAAAATGTTTTTTGGCTCAAGAAAAGAAATCTTTTTTTAAAAAAATTGTCCTTCGATAAAAGCGAAAATTTGTTAAAAATGAATAATAGAAGAAAAAATTTTTCTTCAACGCAAACAAATTAAAAAATACTTTAACATTTGTCAAAATTATTTTTTAATATTTGTTTACACTTTTTTTTTAAATTAAAAATTTATTCTTTGACGTTGAAAAGAAATTATTTCGCGAATACTTTAAAAAATCGTCTGACACACATTTTTTATCTTTAAGGTACAAGAAAAAGAATAAACACAATAAAAGGTCTAAAATTAGATTTTTTTTGTTGAACGAGAGATTTTCCTTTTTGTATTCGCAACAAGAGTTGGAAAAAAAATTATAATTTCGCATGCATGTTAAAAATTGCTAGCTTCGAAAAAATGTTTACATAAAACGTATGACTTGTTTAAAAAATAAAAATGAAAACTAAGAATTTAAACATGAATTTTCGCAAATAAATGATTGCGGATTTTTTATTTCCGTGTATTAATTAGCTTGAACTATATATATTTTATTTTTCTATACACCATTGACATACAATTACAAACGCATATACTCAAGGTAACCAGGGACGCTTTAATTCTCTATAATTTATAGAATTAGAGCAATTGTGTCACGAGGGCAGTAAAATTAAATATTAAATTAATTTGCACTAAAAAGTGCAACCAGAGAATCTGTAAAAGTTTGTCTGTATATTTATTAAAATGTAGATCATCGTCTGGACAAATTTCGGTACTTTAGTAATTTAAAAACCAGTAAAAATTTTTTTTTGTTAAATTCTCAAAATTATTTTCAAAATACATTTTATAAACGCAAATTTTGAATTACTATAATAATTTTTTTAATTTAGTAAATTTTTGTGCATTTGAAATTTTTAATACAAATTTGTATTAAATAAAATAATTTTTGTTTACTTGTTTGTTTCGAACTCATAAAGAGTGCGATTAAAATTCATAAGCGGAAAAAATTTATGCGCAAATTGATTTTGAGGAAGAAGAGCGCGGAAATTATATGCGTGACTAAAAAATACTCTCGGAAACTAAAATGTTTAAAAATATTTAAAAACATTTTTTGAAAATTCGCTAATTCAGATTTAGAGAGTAATTAAAGTGCAGGGAGAATAATATAATTATAAATAAAAATTCTTTAACATCTTTTACGACTGTGACCGCAAAATCTCTGTACTTGAAAATTATATTTTTAAAGTAGAATTATGAATATTTAGTATATTTTAGACCACGATTTGTCGTAAATGCCAACAAATCAAAAATTATATGTTTAAAAACACTTAAACTCGGCGTAAGAAAATGTTTACGTATAACTTCGCTCGAAATTTATTTTCACAAAGCAACAAAAGTGTATATAAAAGATAAATGAGAAATTCTCCGTTTCAACAAACTTTTCCCAATTAATGTCGTTTCTCAAAAACTTGAAAATGACTTCCAGCTGCCCATACATTCATATACATATTTTATGTTATTGGAACGAAAATAACGTAAGAGATAATAAAGTTTGAGTTTTTAATAATTTTAATATACATTATATTAAATCAGAATTGATAACTTCCAGGTGAAAATTTTTTTTCCATTTAAATTTCTTTGTAGAAATTAAATTATTTTCAATAAAATATTCTTCCTATAAAAATTAAATTAATTTTAATGAAATTGTGTGGAACATAATAATTCTATTATTTTTAAAAATTTTAATAAAATTCTACGCAGGAATTAAATTATTTCTGTAAGATAAGTCTCTTCGCAGGAATTCAATTATTTTTAATAAAATATTAATAAAATTTCTGTAAATAATTCAATTACTTTCAATATTCAATTTTAGTTAAATTTCTCGAAAGAACGTAATTATTTTCTAAAATTTTGATATAATTTCTCTGAACAATTAGAGTTATTTACAAAAATTGTAATAAAATTCTTTTTGCAAAAATTAAATTATTTCAGATTTAAAGTTATAAAAGTTACAATAATTACAACAATTTTTTAAATCAAAAAATTTGAGAATAATTGAATTTTAGTGAAATTTTTTAAAATCCTAATTCAATTCTTTTGATGAATCTCTTTGAATTTCTTTAAAATAATGGAATTTCATTGATAATTTTAATTGGAAATTTTTAAAGAAATTAAATTTTATGAAGAATTTTTATCAAGCTTTTAAAATAATCGTGTTTCTTAATAATTGAAATTAAACATTTAAATTGTTGAATTTTATTAAACTTTTCAAAAAATAATTAAATTCTTCTGAGAATTTTATTACAATTTTCTAAAATAATTTAATTCATTCAAAAAATATTATTAAAATATAGAAAAGAATTAATTTGATTATTGAATTTTATTAAAATTGTATTGAAAATTTTTAAATTCCTGAGAAGTATTTTAATATTTATAAAAAAATAATTTAATTCTTGCGATGAATTTTATTCCTTATAAAAATAATTGAATTGTTTCAAAGGATTTATTAAAATTTTATAAAATAATAATATAGAAAATTATTTTAAAATAATTTAGAAAATAAGTAGGTTTTTTCGAAACATTTTATTAAAAATTTTTTAAAAATTGAATTGCTTCGAAGGATTAATTAAAATTTTAGAAAATATTTGAATTTTTTTAAAAAAATATTGAAAATTAAAAAAAAATTCAAATGATTTATTATAATTTTAGAAAATAATTGAATTGTTTTGTGAAATTTTATTGAAAATAATTGAATTGTTTTGAAGGATGAAAAAAAAAGAATATTTTTCAACTTTTTAAAATAAAAAGTGTCTATTAATTAAAAATTTGAATATTTTTTGAAGAATTTTATTATTTTTGAAAATACATAATTGAATTCTTGGGAAGAAATTTATTAAAATTTTTGAAAATAATTAAATTTCTGTGAAGATTTTTATTATTTTTCAAAATAATTGAATTAATGGGAAGAAAATTATTTCTGAAAATAATTGAATTCTACGGAAGAAATTTATTTAAATATTTGAAAATAATTGAATTCTAAGGAAGAGATTTATTTAAATTTTTGAAAATAATTGAATTCCTGTGCAGATTTTTATTATTTTTAAAAATAATTGAATTCAGGGAAGAAATTTGTTATTTTTGAAAATAATTGAATTCTTGGGAAGAAATTTATTAAAACCTTTGAATATAATTGAATTCCTGTGAACATTTTTATTATTTTTAAAAATAAGT